AATGAACCTCTTCTTCCTGCCAAACCCCATGGTAAATGCCAGGGGTCAGCTAGTTCCCATAGGGAATAGATGCTGCTTTACCGGCTGGAAGGACTGTGGTGCTACAAAGAGGAGGATGGCGCCTGTGGTGGGCGCGCGTGCCTACAATCAGCTTCCTTCATGGCGGCCTGGTTCCATGTGCCACGTCGGCCTGTGGGTGGCCATGTGCACCGGGCTCTGCCGGACAGCAGCGGACGCGGCGCCGGCTCGCACAGGCCTCTTAGTATTAGAAGTGTGTGACGAAGCTGGTTGGCATTTCCTTGCTGAGTTGATCCTGCCTCTGTTCCCAGCAGAGCGAGGAGGTCCTTGCAGACTGGTGGCAGCGTGGAGGGAGCGCATTCGGTGGCGGGAGGAGGGCGCTGCAGGCTGCTGGGAGCAGTCTCTGGCCAAGCCCTCTGCGGGTGGCCAGGTCTGAGGAACTTCTCAGTTTCTTAGCCACGTGGCCCCTGCTGGCTCCAAGAGGCAGCCTTCTTACCTGCTAGCATCTGAGCTGCATCCTCCCTCCCCTCCGTAGATTGCTAGCACATGTCCCAGTGTAGCTCTTACTGGCTTATTTTGGTCACATGACCATAGCTGAGCCAATCACTGGCTAGGGAAAGATACAGCACCCTGGCTGGCTGGCTGGAAGTCCTGTCCTCAGTGAACATTGGGGGTTGAGGGGTCATCTCCAACCCCAGCCACTGGGGAGGGGCGGCGTTTCCTCCTAGTGACAAGAAGAGGGGACACTGGACACATGAAGCAACCAGATACCAATTAGCATGAGACAGCTCAGCCAGTAGTTACTTGGAAGAGGTGAGGGCGCTTGTAGGCATGCGTGCAGCCACATGATGATGCTGGTTTATTCTCCTTCCTAGAAAAGTTGCCAGACAGCCAGCATCGCCACTGCCGAAGTGTCCACCCAGGCCCGGAAGCACGCAGATGCCCAGGTGCAGACGGAGGCCCCCGAGCCAGTGGCTGTGCTGCCTTTGCCCCGGCACCACAGCCCGCGGCTGCTGGCCTTCCTCCGCAGGGTGGAGGCCATGGTCATCCGGGAGCTGAGCAAGAACTGGCAGAGCCACGCCTTTGATGGCTTCGAGGTGAACTGGGCTGAGCCGCAGCAGACGGTAGGGCCCAGGCTGGAGCCTGCCCACACTCCCCAGAGCCCTCTAGGTTTCGGTGGCACTAGTGCCAGCTGCCGCTCTTAATTTCTGCTGCTCCTTGAGTCCTGGCACCTGTTCTGGGAGTTGGTGCTGCCAGACCGTCCATCTCTGTGCTGGGGAGGTAGAGGCCACAGAGCAGCAGTGCAGCAGCAGTGCCTCAGGCGGGCTGTGCCTCCCACGCCCTTGTACAGGAAGCGCTGCTCTGGGCTGGCGCTGATCCGGCGCCTCTTCTGCTGTGGCATGGTCTCTCCTGCTCGCGGCACCTGAGGTCCTCCTGCCCATGGCTTCCTGTGCAACTGGGGGCACAGTAAACAGAAGCAGAGCAACCCAGTGCTTGGCATTGCTGGCTCGCACCTATAATCCTAGCTGCTCAAGGGGTTGTAATTCAAAGCCGCCCTCAGGAAGTCAAATCTAAGAGACTTATGGCCAACTAGCAAACTGCTGGCACTGAGTGTTGCTCAAATGGTAGAGCACCACCCCTGAACCAAAAAGCTTAAGAATGTGATGCCCTGAGTTCAAGCCCCAAGACTTGCACACACAAAAGAATAATTTTAGCTGGGTGCTGATGGCTCACGCCTGTAATCCTAGCTACTCAGGAGGCTGAGGTCTGAGGATCATAGTTCAAAGCCAGCACGGGCAGGAAAAGTTCATGAGACTCTTAATCTCCAATAAACCACTAGAAAACCGGAAGTGGCCCTGTGGCTCAAGAGGTAGAGCACTTGCCTTGAGCTGAAGAGCGTAGGGACATCGCCCAGGCCTAGAGTTCAAGCCCCACGACCGACCAAAAAAAAAAAACAAAAACAAAAAACCATGTACCACTGTAAAGACAAAATAACCCTGAAGCTGGCTTGTGTAACACACACACAAGGCCGTGCTAGCCCTTTGTTGACGTGCCGTTTGGTGAGGCTGAGTCCGCACGCTGCGCAGCGGGCCCAGCCTGCCGGCCTATGTGTCCTTGCATGGGGTCTTGGGAGCGCTGCAGAGCCTCGGGTGTGCAGCTTGGACTCTGCTTCTCCGGCTCTGTCTTTCTGGCTTTCAGAAGCAGCCTGTGAGGGGCGATGGTAGGGTGACGGCTTTGCACTGTCTTTCAGGACTGGGCAGTGGATGTGGACAGCTTTTTGGGCCTGGCTGCCCAGGCCAGATGCTGCCACGGGGCGGCGGCTGGGTGTCTTTGGGGCTGGGCTAGCGGACGGCTTGTGTCCGCAGGTGTCCTGTCTGCACACGCTGTGCTACCCCCCTGCCCAGGCGCAGGGGCTGCACGTGACCAGCATTTCCTGGAATGCCACGGGCTCCGTGCTGGCCTGTGCCTATGGCCGGTGAGTAGCAGCCGGGATGGTGGGGGCCGTGGGAGACCTCCGACACGCACGGCCTGTGTGCTCCACGGATATGGCCACTCTAGGTCAGCGAGGCAAGAAAAATGCAGGGGAGCAGGGCTGCATCGCAGCCCACCTTTCCTTTGCCATTTCTCTGTGCCTTGGACTCTCTCTCGAGAGCATTGTGCCCTGGAGGTGCCACTGGTGCACCCCAAGTGCTGTGTCTGGGTGGTAGGGGGCACTGGCGAACCCTTTTCTGTTCAAGCGCTCCTGGGAAGCTAAGTGTGTCCTTGCGCAGGCTGGATGACGGTGACTGGAGCACACTCAAGTCCTTTGTGTGTGCCTGGAACCTGGACCGGCGCCGTCTGAACCCCCAGCAGCCGCTGGCAGTGGTGGAGGTGCCCAGCTCCGTCATGTGCCTGGCCTTCCACCCCACGCAGCCCGCCCACATCGCAGGTGAGTGTCCGCCCCACGCCAGCCTCTCCGCCTCAGCCTCTCTGTGCTAGCCTCCCCTCTCCCCCTCCCAGGCTGGCTTCCTTCCCTGCAGAGGTGGCCAGGGGCAGGCCCAAGGGCTGGTACCACAGCTTGCTGGGGAGAAGGCAAGGCTGTCCCTGGCACCGGCTGGGCATGGAAGGGGCATGTGGGAGGAAGGGGCATGTGGTACGCTGTGCGGACGGTGAGAGGGACACGGCTCCCTGGGCTGCGTGCGGTGGTGAGGCTCCCTGGGGTGCGGCCAGGGGCACCGAGGCCCCCTGCGGGGACTTTCAGGGCAGAGGCTGTTGGTCCTGGCTGTGTGGCTGGTGCCTGTCTGGGAAGCCGCAGTGCTGAACTGACGCCAGGCCCGGCTCCCGGCAGGAGGGCTGTACAATGGCGAGGTGCTGGTGTGGGATGTGAGCCGGCCCGAAGACCCCCTGCTGTGGCGCACAGGCCTGACTGACGACACCCACACGGACCCTGTGTACCAGGTCAGGTGTAGAGGGCGCGGGGAGCAGGACTGGAGGCCCCTGTCCTCTTAGGGGGAGTCAGCAGGGGCTGGGCAGCTCATCTGCCTCTGGGTGCTGGGAGCCTGTGTGCCCCAGGTGGGTGAGGCTGGGCCCTGCGCCACCTGGGAGCGGGGATGGTGGGGACGGGGCTGCTGCGGCCCCGTTCCTCCTCACTGTCCCGCCCGCTGTCTCCTCAGGTTCTTTGGCTGCCGGAGCCGCAGCACAGTCACCGGTTCCAGGTGCTGAGCGTGGCCACGGACGGGAAGGTGCTGCTGTGGCAGGGGGTGGGGGCCGGCCAGCTGCAGCTCACGGAGGGCTTCGCCGTGGTCGTGCAGCAGCTACCGCGGAGCAGCAAGCTGAAGAAGGTAGGGCCACAAGGATGGCTGTAGCCCCGGGGATCCGAAGCCCCGGACCTCACCGCCGCCTCTTCTTCACAGCCGTCCCGGGGCGAGACCGAGGTGGGCGCCACCGCCGTGTCCTTCTCCAGCTTCGACCCCAGCCTTTTTGTTCTGGCCACGGAAGGCGGCTTCCCCATCAAGTGCTCGCTGGCTGCCGAGGAGGCGGCGCTCACACGCATGCCCAGCTCAGTGCCCCTGCGCGCCCCGGCGCAGTTCACCTTCTCTCCCCATGGGGGCCCCATCTACTCTGTGAGCTGCTCCCCCTTCCACAGGTGTGGACCCCGGCCGGGAGCCAGGCTGAGCCTCTGGTGATTGGTCCTGGCTGGCCCTTTGGGAGGACCCTACCCTCTGTGTGGGGAGAGAAGGGAGCCCTGGCAGTGCCTGCAGCCCCGGTGCCCATCCCCACGTCTGGCTCCGCTCTGCACCCCACGCAGGAATCTCTTCCTGAGCGCGGGGACGGATGGCCACGTCCACCTCTACTCCATGCTGCAGGCCCAGCCCCTCACCTCGCTGCAGCTGTCCCACAAGTACCTGTTCGCCGTGCGCTGGTCCCCCGTGCGCCCCCTGGTTTTCGCAGCTGCTTCTGGGGACGGTAGGAAAAGGCCACCAGGCCTAACCTGTTCCAGGGGTGCTAGGGGCCGCGCTGGTGACCGACTGCCCGTGGGGCCAAGGTGGCCTCCCAGGCAGGTGGGGTGATCTTAGGTTCTGAACCACCTCCCTCTGCAGGTGATGTGCAGCTGTTTGATCTCCAAAAAAGCTCCCAGAAGCCCACAGCGTCCATCATGCAGACCCAGGACGGAAGCCCTGTGTACTGTCTGGAATTTAACAGCCAGCAGACGCGGCTCTTGGCTGCTGGTGACGCCAAGGGCATGGTGAAGGTGTGGCAGCTGAGCTCGGCCTTCACGGAGCAGGGGCCCCGGGAGACGGAGGACTTGGACCGGCTGGCCTCGGAGATAGCCACGTGAGGGAAGCAGGGGTGAGGCTCTGCGAGCTGCAGGCCTCTGCTGTGGGCAAATGAAGAGACGTTTCTAGGGGGAAGAGTCCTTTATTGTCTTTGACATGAAAACAGAAAACGAGGGTGGGGGGACAGGACGGAGGGAGCCAGCTGCTCGGGTTTTCTAGGCTGGAATGAGGGCAGCTGGTTCAAGACACACGTGTGGGTCCCCACAGCAACATGGCGATTGTGACCAGACCAGAGCGGTTTATCGAAGCACCATTTTCTACTAAGTCTTAACCACGCTAAGCAGGCTTACGGTTACACTGGAAGTAAGCGTGTGGAATATTCTCAGTGGGCACAGAGGAAGTCACATGCAGCAGGGCAAGCAGTGTGGGGGGCAGGCGAGCCGAGATCAGTTCACGAAGAGCGAGCGGGTGAACTCCACGTAGTCGAAGGCCGTGGGGAGCTCGCGGCCCTTGCCGTCCACGTAGGGCTTCATGTGGGACACGCAGTAGTCCGCTTGTTCCCGGGTCAGGTTCTGGAGGGAGGGAGCAGTCAGCTTGGGCGGGCACCGAGTTCAAGTTCCAGGTGTAATGGAACTTGTGCCCGAGCCAGCTGCAAGCCCGGGGACCCTGACCTGCCCGGGGCTCACCTGGTACAGCTCCTCCTTGGTGACGTATGGCTTCCCCTCGGAGCTGAGGGCCCGGAAGGCACTCTCGATCTCCTCGCTGGACTTGACGTTTTCTGTCTCGCGGCTGATCATGAAGGCCATGTATTCTTGCAGGGAGACGTGGCCATCCCTGAAGGGCACGGGGCGGGCACCGTGAGCAGCTAGGTGGGCGGAGTCCAGGCCTGCGCCGCCCGTCGCCTGTCACCACAGCTTACCTGTTGGGGTCCACGGTGTCCAGGATTGCTTCAAACTCCGGGTCGGGTTCTCCTTCCTCCACCATGGGGAGGTCGTAGCCCAGGGAGCGCAGGCAGGACTTGAACTCCTGATGGTTCAGTCGGCCAGACTTGTCCTTGTCGAAGTGTCTGTAACAGGGGCCAGGCTGCTCAGCGCACAGGCCCTGCCGCCCATCTGCCCCACCGGGCTGGGGCCATACTCACTTGAACATCATGCTGAACTCCTTGAGGGCCTCCTCCGTCACCCCTGTCGTGTTCCTGGAAGAAAGGCAGTAGTAGGGATGGGGCCCTCCCTTCTGCGCGCCAGCCCTGGCTGCCGTGCCGTGTGGCAGTACCAGTACCCCCTCCCCCAGGGCACTCCTCCCTCAGGCACCTGGCCTGGATCTGCTGCTCCAGGTTGTGCTGCATGCGCATGCCCAGCTGGTCCAGCTGGTCCCACTGCTGTGCCAGGCCCACGGTGCTGTGCTCGGTGTACTTGTTGTCCAGGATGAGGGCTTCCTCCATGGCGGCTCCCAGGTCCTCAATCTTCTTGAGCTGGCTTCTCATGGCTCGGATCTCCTGGTGCTTGCGCTGTGGGCAGGGCACAGAAGTGTGGGGACAGGACTCCCCTTCAGGCCCTGTCCAAGTCTGCACAACCTCCCTCCCTCCTGGGAAGGGAACAGCACTGGGGTGAAGTGCAGCAATCCAAATGAGTTGGAAGGAGCCAGCAGGCGGACTTCTGGGCAAGTCTCCTGTAGACAGCAAGGCCTTGTGCTTTCCCATGAAGGGCAGCAACCACGGAAGACATTTAGCTCGAGGTGCCTGGCACACACCAGGCAAGAATTCCACCACTTGATTCTCACCCCCAGCCCGAAGACTTTCTCTCAAAGCCCCTGGAGCTTTAAGTAAAGAGAATGAGGCTCTGCCGCCTAAGAGCAGACCTGGTGGGGGCAGGGGTGGGGAGGGAGAGGGCTGGCACTGGGCCCAAAGCTCTAGGGTCACTCACTTTGGTAGCCTCCAGCTGGGACTCAAGGGTTCCGGATTCTTCCACCATGCAGGACCTGGACACAGAAGTGCAGTGAGGATGGGGCCTGACCTCAATAGCCAGCTCAAGATGGACTTTCCTCTGAACGAGGCCCTGAGGAAGCGCCGTGCGCGGGCCTGCTCTTCCTAACTGGCCCCGGAACCAGGTTGGGTCTCCTGGCGTAGAGCCCCTTGGCTCTCTGGGCCTCCAGGGGCCATTTGCAAAGTGGGTTTGTCTCCCGTGGGACTAGGTGGGCCGCTGGCCTAGCTGGTCACCCTTCTCTGCAGATAACGGCAGGGCCCGCAGTGTGGCGGAGCCTCCTGCAGCTCTGAGTGAGCTGACAGGGGCTGAGGCGGGACCCTGACCCCGGGCTCTGCCGTCTACACTTAGCCAGGGCTGCGTTCGGAGAGGCAGGTGGGCCTCTGCGCCTGCCCCTCCCCAGGGTAACAGAGTGAGGCCACAGGCTACTGGTGAACGAAGACAACACACGAGTAGGGGTCACGTGCAGGGGCAGGGTCACACGGTGAGCACGGCCTTAGTCTGAGCCCCGTTTCCGCTGTACCCACGTTTGCCGTGGCTCACCCGTGTGAGCCCAGCGAGCCAGGGCAAGCCTTAGAGATGCCTAAGTTCAAAGTGCTCCAGCAAGGCAAGGCACCACGACCCCTCCTACCCCAGCAGGCGAGACTCAGGCAGGCCCCGTCCCCAGGGAAAAGGACACCCCAGGACCTGGGGCAGGAGGCAGGGCCAGTGCAGTGGAGGGGACAGACCCTCCTCCCAAGCGGCCAGGGCGTGGGTTAGTCAGAAAGCAGAGCCGCCTGGGAAGTCCAGAGTGCATTGGTAAAACCACAGTGAGGGAAGAAGAGAAATAAGAGGAGAAAAACCTTCCAGACAGATCATCCCCAACTTCATACTGATAGACACGAATGACCCGACGGTATGCTATGCTATGCAAAGAAAAGAAACCAAATGAATACACCAGAGGGGGCGAGGCAAGAGCACACGAGACACGCGCCACAGGCCCAAGCTGGCAGCGCACAGGCAAGGGGACCCTGCCACCGGGTGGGAAGCAGGAAGTGGCCTGGTGGCCCACCCTGGGGCAGGTCACGAGGGCACTGGGCCAGGCGGGACAGGGCTTGAGAGGAGCCACGGGGGAGGGGGCAGGGCACAGTGCACACAAGACCAGAGCAGCAGACAGCGCGTGAGGGCAGAGCCTGTGCCCCAGCCACGGGCGGCGGCGGGATGCTGCTGTTCTTCCCTTCCTGCCCTGACTGGTTTGGGAAGCTCTCTCCCATTAGCAGCTTTATGCCCCTGATGCGTGTATTTGCCATCTGCAGACCTTTTGGGGGCCAGCTAGGCCATTCTGGCTCAGTGAGCCTGGCCTGTATGGTAGGCCTGGGCAGAGGCCTGGGCTTTGCAAAGTGGCCCCTGCCAGAATGGGGGACAGCCCTGCAACGTTCTGGGCTCCTCCAAGCCCTGTCTCCATCCCCCATTGTAACGGGAGAGTCCCTGCCTTCTGCTAGGGCTCTGAGCTCTGGGGCAGCTGGGGTACTGTACAGCTCCCCACTGCACCCAGCCCGAGTCCTCAGCTCTGTCAGCAGCCTCATGCCCATTGACCATCTAGGGATACTACGGTCTCTGGGGACACACTGGGGAAACAGGCAGATGAATCCCAGTAACCCAACAGACATGGCATTCCTGGAGTCTTTGGACTCGGCTCTGGCCTCCTTGCCCAGCGCGTCCCCACCTGCAGGGACAGGAACCACAGGCCAAGGTGAGAGTGGCACCCCGCCTGGCGGCCACAGCAGGCTTCACGGGACAGGGGCTGCAGGGAGGGCAGGATCCTATCGGGATCCTCTGCAAGCCAGGCCACGGGGGACGAGGGGCACAGGGAACAAGCACACGAGACCACCACACCACGAGCCCGGAAAAAGAAGACAATATTAACCCATCGAGGAGGTACGTTCTGTGCGGATCCGAGCAGCCATGACACGTGGGGTCCGGAGGCAGCGGCAATTGGGAGGAGGGGACAGAGAGAAGACAAAAAAACAAAACCAACAACATCAGTACCATTCTGCCATCAACTGTGCCAATGTTGCCCAATTCCTGCTGGGGCCAGTCAGGGGCCATGCACAGTCCCAGATGTTGCCTCAGTTGGGACTTCTATCAGCTTTGCTTTAGGGAGATGAACCACAGTGTGTCCACAGCAGTCTATGCTTTCACACTGCAGCATGGTCTCTGGCTTTTATGTAATGGAACGTAACGGGGCTGGAGCTTAGGGCCTCACACTCCTACCACAGCTCCATTTTTGGCTTTGTGTTAGATAAATGGAGGTAAGAATCTCAGGAGTTGTCTGCCCGGGCTGGCTTTGAACCTCCATCCTCGGATCCCAGCCTGCTGGGTAGTTAAGAGTGTAGATGACGTGTGAGCCGCCAGTGCCCTGCAGAGCTCTGGGTGCTAGGCAGCTGGAGGCCTCCGGGACCAGAGCTCTCCCCAGCCCATCCCGCAGAGCAGGCACCTGGTCTCTTGGATCCACTGGTGGAAGGCATTGGCATGTTGGGCAAACTCCTGGCGCAGCTTGTCATTTTCCTCCTGCCGCCTCTGCTCCTTCTGCAGCTCCAGCTCTCGCTCCTAGGACCAAAGGGACCTGGTCTCAGATGGCTGAGTGGAGATGTGGCCCCAGGTCTGGGAGGTGGTCTGAACTCTGGGAGGGGCAGGGGTGAGGCTGAGAAGCCAGGCAGCAAGCGCTTGGGGGCAGGCCCACCTTGATGATTTTCTGCAGGTTCCTCCAGGTCTCCTCCAAAGCCTCCATGGTGAACCAGGTGTAGGGGTTGGAGGCCACACGGAAGCTCTTAATCTGACGGTCCAGCTCAGCCAGCTGGTTGAAGTCAGCCTGCGCAGAGCTGAGGGAGGAGCGGAAAGCATCATGGGCCTCGCGCAAAGCTTTGATTTCTTCTAAGGAGTTGCAGCGGACAGGGTCGGTCAGGTCCTCCTCAGCATTTTCAAACCAGCTGTTAAAGGCAGACGCTTTTTTGGCGAAGGTCAGGAAGAGGTCTTCCACCTGGAAGCAGAAGAGGAGAGAGAGTCAGGAGTCAGCAGGGCAGAGCGCACGTGGCTCGTGGGAGTCAGGCTCTGCTCGGCTCTGCTCGCTGCTGCTTCCTCTCACCGGGGAGCAACTACAAGAGGGCAGAGGGTCCGTGTGCCTTGGTTTCGGCCCAGTCCAGGCCCGTGCTTCCTCACAGGACCATGGCACCGCACGGCAGAAGGGGGGGGTCAGGTCTGCCATCCCTGCCAACAGGCCCTCTCACCTTGCGGAAATGACTCTGGGCCTCCAGAAGCTTCTTTTTCCGGGTGGCTGAGTTGGCCAGCAGCTGGCTCCATCTCTTCATGAGGGAGGCATGCCGAGCCTCAATCGCCTTAGACTGGATGTGCTTGGCGGCCAGCAGCTGGTCTTTGAGGGCTGTGATGTTGGCGATGCCCTCCTGCTGGAAGGCCTGCAGGCCGGCATCGAACGTTTCCTGCAACGAGAAGCGAGAAGGTGATTTGTGGCGACAGCAATGGGGCTGGCTGTGTTCTTCGCAGTGCCCTGGCTCAGCTGGCACAAGCATGGCCCCCAGGCATTCATGGCAGCCAGCCTGGAGCCGCCCCCCGCTGCCACCTTGCCTTGCCTCAGACTGGATTCCCCTCTTCCTCAGCACCCAGGCTCGGCGTATCTGTCATGAGAGGCCCTGCCACGTGATCACCTTTGGTTTTTTCACCTATGGCTGCGCCTAAGGAGGCCTGTCCAACTGACAGAGGTGTCCCTCGTACCCGAGACCACGGTGCCCAGCCCTGAGTCCCCCACAAGCCTCCATGCAGATGCACGGTGATGTGCTGCTCCCCCAGTTGTTCTGGAAGCTCTGGGATGAGAGCTACCTGTCTGTCGGAATGCTGGGGTGCTCGGAGATGGGGTTGCCGGTGATTTCAGCCCACCAATCAGGAGAACAGTCAAACTCACCTGCTTTGTGAGGAGTGTCTGGACTGAAGATAGGTCTCGGCCATAATCGTCTGTCTTCAAACTGTTCTCCTTTTCACCTAGAAAACCAAGCGTAACTTTCCCACCCCTTCCTGTGCAAGAGAAACTGGAAAGGAATACCACAGAACTGACACAGACGTGACTTCCTCCGCTTCAGCCCCTCTGACACAGCACTCAGGGCCTCATTCTTGTGCCGTGAGAGGTCCTCCGAACTTGGAGGTCACGTTGACCCCAATAACAGAATTCAGTGCCCTGCAGGGCCTGGAGAGAGCTTGGCTGGGACAGCCTGTGGCTCTGATGGGCCCACTCTGTAGGGGTGCACCTATCACTGTCAGGCCTCAGTGTTAGGATGTCTCCCAGCTGGTGGCTAGATCTGCCCATGGACCAGCTCTGATCCGGCGGAGGGCCAGCTGCATGGAAACATACCCATCACAGTAGCCTGGTGGGGAGGAGACACTTTGGGCCTTGCCAAGGCTGCTCACCGATCCAGGACTCCACCACGTCAGCCTTCCAGTTGAACTGAAGGAAGGCTGAATTCTCATCCAGCTTTGCCTTCCTCTGGGCTGCGGCCTTCTCCAGGTCAGACACCTTCCCATTCAGGCCCTTCATCTTTGAAGAGATGTTCTCCTCGTGGTGATTGTTCTATTTAGGGACAAAAGCACGGTGAGCCTCCCTTTCCTCCCTGAGTCCTGAGAGAATCTTATTTCCAATTAAACCACCAAAAAACCAGAAGTGGTACTGTGGCTCAAAGCGGTAGAGCACTAACCTTGAGCTGAAGAGCTGAGGGACGGCATCCAGACCCAGAGTTTTTTTTATTTTTTTTTAATTTTTTTGTCTGTCGTGGGGCTTGAACTCTGGGCCTGGGCGCTGTCCCTCAGCTCTTCAGCTCAAGGCGAGCGCTCTACCACTTGAGCTACAGCGCCACTTCTGGTTTTCTGGTGGTTTATTGGAGATAGGAGTCTCACGGTCTCTCCTGCCCGGGCTGGCTTTGATCCGCGATCCTCAGATCTCAGCCTCCTGGGTAGCTAGGATTACCGGCGTGAGCCACCAGCGCCCTGCCAGGCCCAGAGTTTAAACCCCATGATGGACAAAAACCAAAACCAAAACCAAAACACAATTTGAAAATATAGGCTATCCCAGAATTTTAAGAGAAATCTAGAGAGAAGAAAACTTGAGGCTAAGAAATGAAGCGCTAAAGAACAGTCACAGCTGGCACTGATGGCTCACACCTGTATCCCAGCGATTCAGGATGCTGAGACCTAGAAAATCATGGTTCAAAGTGAGTCCAGGCAGAAAAGTCAGTGAGACTCCATCCAAAGTGCTGAACAAGAGTTGTGGCTCGGGGGGGGGGGGGGGGCTGGGAAGGTGGCTCAGTGGTAGAGAGCTTGCCTTGCAAAAAGAAAAAAGCCGGAAGCGGCTTTGTGGCTCAAGTGGTAGAGTGCTAGCCTTGAGCTGAAGAGCTGAGGGACAGCGCCCAGGCCCAGAGTTCAAGCCCCACGACCAGAAAAAAAAAAAAAAAAAAAAGAGTTGTGGCTCAACTGGTCACTCACTACCCTGAGATCTGAGGATCATGGTTTGAAGCCAGCCCAGTCAGAAAAGTCCTCGTGAGACTCTTATCTCCAATGAATCACTCACAAACTTGAAGCGGAACTGTGGCTCAAAGTGGCAGAGCGCTAGCCTTGAGCAAAAGAGCTCAGGGACAGCACCCACAACCACACACATACACACACACAGCCAAGTGAGCGACAGCTCATGGCCTACAGTTTAAGCCTTAGCACCAACACACACAAGTAAAAATCCACTCACCTCACAGCTCTCTCCTGGGGGGGGAGCCTTGTGTCTGAGAGGAGTTTCACACTGGTTCATGCTGAGCAGGACCAGAATGAAAGTTCTCTAATGATCTGGATTTTTTTTTTCTTTTTTTCTTTTGGGTGCAGTCCTGGAGCCTGAACTCTGGGCCTGGGCGCTGTCCCTCGGCTCTTCAGCTCAAGGCTAGCGCTCTACCACTTGAGTCACAGTGCCACTTCTGGGTTTCTTCTTTTTTGCTTATGTGGCGCTGAGGAATTGAACCCAGGGCCTCAGGCATGCAAGGCAAGAGCTCTACCACTGAGCCACCTTCCCAGCCCCCCTCCCCCCTTTTTTTTCTAGTCCTGGAGTTTGAACTCAGGGTCTGGGCCTTCCCAGCCTCCCTCCCCCCTTTTATTTTCTAGTCCTAGAGTTTGAACTCAGGGACTGGGTACTGTTCTGGAGCTTTTTATACTCAAGGCTAGTGCTCTACCACTTGAGCCACAGATCCACTTCCGGTTTTCTGCTGCTTAATTTTCCTGCCCAGGCTAGCTTCAAACTGCAGTCCTCAGATCTCAGCCTCCTAAAGGGCTAGGATTATATGTGTGAGCAACTGGCACCTGGCTCTGTTTTGCATATTTTTTTACAAGTTCTAAAAAGAGGCTCTGGGCTGAGAATGTGGCTTAGTTGTAGAGTAATTGCCTAGTGTGCATGAAGCCTTGGGTTCAATTTCTCAGTAGCACATAAACAGAAAAAGCTCGAAGTGGCACTGTAGCTCAAGTAGTAGAGTGCTAGCCTTGAGCAAAAGAAGCTCAGGGACAGAATCCAGGCCCTGAGTTCAAGCCTCAGGACTGGCCAAAAAAAAAAGAGGTTCGATTACTGAGAAGTCATTTTGAGAGTTCTAATGCTCCAAACTCCCCAAAAGGGATACCTGTCCTTACTTCCAGCAGAAATAATAAGCACCTCAGAAGTGTGACTGCCTGGCTCAGCACTCACGCGTCTGTTTGGGGTGGAACCTGGGAGCATCTGTTGTGCTCTCCACACGGACCTGTCTGGAGAACATGATAGGTGACAGACAGGAGCGGGGGACACTAAGAACCTTCCCAAAGGGCCAGGCTCCTTTTTTTTTTTTTAAATAAGGATTTTAGTATAACAGGGACCAGTAGGGAGAAATAGAAAAGAAACATTTCCTCCTCCTGCAGGAAGTGTGAGTTAAAGCCTCAAAGTGGCAGCTGCTGGCCGCAGGCTCACCTTCTTAATGAGGTCTTGTCCGTTGGTGCAGACATCATTCACACGATCCTTGTGGACAGTGAAATCTGTTTCAAAAGCTTCGTGTTTCTTCAGTAAGCCCTGGAATGGAACAGCAAGGTCAGCCACTGAGTGCCTGGGATGGGGTGGGGCAGAGGCTGGGATGAGGCCTTTCCTCAGGGATCTGGTGTCCTTTCCTTCTAGATCACCAGAAATGAAGTTGCAAAGCAATGACTTACTTGGCACATCTTGCAAGGAACCCGCAGGCCTGCCTTATTGTGCCCTGGGCCCCGGAGGCAAGGCCCCCTCCTTGCTCCCTCTGGGGGACCGTGACCTCACCACATCCCGCCTCACTCATCCTGACAAGGGCAGGGCCACCTCACACCACTGTCTAGGGCTAAGGGACACATGACCCCGGGGATGGGCAGCATCTCCTGAGGAGGACAGCAGGAAACTCAGGCTGCCCTGGGGCTGCCTCTGGACCAGGGTAGGGGAAAGTTGGGTGGGATGCCCTCCAACACCCTGCAGCCTGGAGCAGCCTTCTGGAGGAGGAGAAGCCTAGTGGAGGGGCAGAGAAGGCCTATCCAAAAGCCAGGCCTGTCCTGTGTGAACGCAGTTGCCTGAAAGATGCCATGTAGAAGCTGCCTAGGAAATGCCCACCAAGCCACGGACTAGAGGGCAAGAAGAATGGCTGCTGCTTTTAGCCACCAAGTTTCAGGTGGGATGTGATTGATAACGTTACCACTTTAGGGAGTTGCTATGGCTGTGCCACAGTTGCTGAGCTGTGCTCTCATTTCTAGGCCTGAGGAATTTGGAGTAGGTCTTTGAAGATGGAATATGCAAGTTAAAATGAGCTGATGAAGGGTAGCACATGGCCATGATTACGTCCTGGCACTGGGGTTTGAACACAGGGCCTTGTGCTTGTTAGGCACTGCTCTACCACTGACCACCCGACCATTACCTGCAGAATCATCTACCAATAGGACTGATATCCTTAAAAAGGGAAACCTGGAGGCTGAGTACACCAGCTCACCTCTGAAATCCTAGCTATTCAGGAAGTTGAGATCTGAGGAAAGTCCTTGAGACTCTTATCTCTAATTAACTATCAAAAAAGCCAGAAGTGAAGCCGGGTGCTGGTGGCTCACGCCTATAATCCTAGCTACTCAGGAGGCTGAGATCTGAGGATCACGGTTCAAAGCCAGCCTGGGCAGGAAAGACCGTGAGACTCTTATCTCCAATAAACCACCAGAAAACCGGAAGTGGCGCTGTAGCTCAAGTGGTAGAGCGCTCGCCTTGAGCTGAAGAGCTGAGGGACAGCGCCCAGGCCCAGAGTTCAAGCCCCACGACCAACCAAAAAAAAAAAATAAAATACTTTTAAGGTTGTAAGGAATGCATTAGGAGAGGAGCTGGTCCTGAAAGTGGCCTGTTTACATGCAATATTAGTTGGGAGACTCATATTTTGGGGAGTGGGGATTAGAAAAAAAATCCAACTCCCCTTGTAGAAACGGTCTTCTCAGATTTGACCTAAGTCCATCAACTTTCCCCGTGGCCAAAAGGTAGGGTCTACTGTGACACCAGGGTCACCACCTTTGTGGGCACATTGTTGGTCACCACTGGAAAAACTGAGTGTGGGGCACTAGGGACTCAAGTGGCTACATTCCTGTCTCCCACAGACCCAAGGGCCTAAGACTCCTGCCTCTCCTGCTGCCCGTGCACACAGCCTGGAGCTCTCTGCCACAGCAGCACGTACTTGATCCAGGACTCCTCATCATCCATATCCCGGAAGAACTGGTGCAGGCGGTGGGACTCGCTGAGCTTGGCGCGCCGGGAGGCTGCCATGCTCTTGATCTTCTGGAAGCGCCCATTGATGGTGTCCCGCTTCTCCTTCACTTGGGAGGTGTCAAAGGCACTGCTGGTCATCAGGCTGTCTGCCTGGCTGTTCAGGTCCTTCAGGCGATCCTGGGGGGTGGTGGGTTGAGAACAGGAGTGAGAAGCCTGGATCTTGCAGGAGTAACTGCTTACAAGTAAAAACACAGGTATCCCGAGTACTTGTCCCAAGTGGACGCAGTGAGGTAAAAATGATTTTCACAGTGACCTAAGACATGACCTGCTGGTTTCACTGTGTAACACTGGTACTGGTGGCACAAAGGCAGTGAGTGAGGAGGGCCAGCACCTGGGCATGCAGCCAGGCAGCAGCAGACACAGTTCACATAGACTGGCCTTCATTTTAGTTTAAGTGTTTTGCGGGGAGAACTCAGAGCCTTGTGTTCTACGCCATAGGCTGGATGGTCCTGAAACCATTCTATAGTAAGAAACAAGGTTAATTTTATTATTTATCTGTGCCTTTCTTACTTGAAAAAGGGTACCCAACAGATATTTTGTTGAGAATAATGAATTATATTCCTAATGATGAAACTCAAACTTGTGGAGAAAATGACAGCTGTGGAGAATTCCTATTTACCACCATGAGTCTGAGAGCTTCCCAAAACAAAAACAATTTCACTGATGAGATTGGTGAGTATGTTGAGAATGTGATACCAAGTTTTGGTTATCACATTTGTGCCAACATTTAGAACCAACCCACACCTACTGAACCAGCACTTACTGATTACCGCTATGCCAACAGTCTTGTAGTATAACAAAATGAAGGTGGCCAGTGGATTTTAATAGAGTGGAATAGGAAAAACCAGGTTTCAGAGCCCATTCTGTAATGAGCCTTTGAAAAACTACAGATACAAAGCCATATTTACACACTGCGCAGCAGCAGAAGAGGGGACCCCAATGACTGGAACTCAAGTACCCTCTCCTCCCTCTCAGTAACCTGTATCTTGTGAGACACAATGTAGCACTACACACTGAGCTCAGAGCAGCCAAAAAAACCCAGATGTCTCCTACCAAGCTGATTAGAGATCCGCTAATATGTGATTGATGTCACTCTTCTCATTCCTTTTTTTTATTTTTAAGTCTGTCATGGGGCTTGAACTCTGGGCCTGGGCGCTGTCCCTCAGCTCTTCAGTTCAGGCTAGCGCACTACCACTTGAGCCACAGTGCTGCTTCCCATTTTCTGGTAGTTTATTGGGGATAAGAGTCTCATGAACTTTTCTGCTTGGGCTGGCCTTTGAACTGAGATTCTCAGATCTCAGCCTCCTGAGTAGCTAGGATTATAGGTGTGAGCCACTGGTGCTGGGTTCCTTTTTGTCATTTGAAAATGTTCTTGCTGGGTGCCGGTGGCTCATGCCTATAATTCTATCTATTCAGGAGGCTAAGATTTCTGGCTTGTGGTTTGAACCCAGCTCAGGCAGGAAAATCTGTGAAACTCTTTTTTTGTTGGTTGTGGGGCTTGAACTCTGGGCCCAAGCGCTGGCCGTCAGCTCTTCAGCTCAAGGCAAGCGCTCTACCACTAGAGCTACAGCACCACTTCCGGTTTTCTGGTGGTTATTGGAGATAAAAGTCACGGACTTTTCCTGCCCTGGCTGGCTCGGAATCTCAATCCTCAGATCCAAGCCTCCTTAATAGCAAGGATTACAGGCATGAGCCAGCAGCACCTGGCTTTGTGAAACTCTTTTTTTTTTTTTTTTGGGGGTCTGGTCGTGGGGCCTGAACTCTGGGCCTGGGTGCTGTCCCTTAGCTCTTCAGCTCAAGGTCAACGCTCTATCACTTGAGCCACAGCGCCACTTCCGGCTTTTTTCTTTATGTGGTGCTGAGGAATCGAACCCAGGGCCTCAGGCATGCAAGGCAAACGCTCTACCTCTGAGCCACCTTCCCAGCCCCGTGAAACTCTTATCTACAACTAAATTACAGAAAAAACTGGAAGTGGCACTGTGACTCAAGTGATATGTCCAGGTTCAGAGTTAAGGCCTAGAACCAGCCCAAAACAAAAACAAAAATTCATAATTTACATTTTTTTTCTTTTTTCTTTTTGTCTTGTCTGTCGTGGGGCCTGAATTCTGGGCCTGGGCGCTGTCCCCTCAGCTCTTCCTAGCACTCTATCACTTGAACCACAGTGCCACTTCCTGCTTTTTATGTGGTGCTGAGGAATTGAATCCAGGTCCTCATACATGCGAGGTAAGCACTCTACCACTGAACCACCTTCCCAGGCCTACTCTTGATTTTTGAGAGAAGGTCTCACTATGGAATCCAGGCTGGCCTAAACTCTCCATCTATCCTTCTGCTTCAGCCTCTTAAGTGTTGGGAATATAGGTGTGCCCACAATGGCTAGCTCTTTCCTTTTCCTTCTGATGTTCATAAAAATGTTAAACCATAAAACTCTAGTATTAATATTTCCATTTTAATGTTAACTTTTCATTTTTAATTCTCAAGATGCACAAACAAAATCCCTAGGGGTGTGAATTGTTAAGAATACAATGGCAGCCGGGCACTGGTGGCTCACGCCTGTAATCCTAGCTACCCAGGAGGCTGGGATCTGAGGATCACAGTTCAAAGCCAGCCCGAGCAGGAAAGTCTGTGAGATTCTTATTTCCAATAAACCATTAGAAACCCAGAAGTGGCGCTGTGGCTAAAGTGGTAGAGCGCTCGCCTTGAGCTGAAGAGCTGAGGGACAGTGTCCAGGCCCAGAGTTCAAGTCCCATGACCGACAAAAAAAAAAAAAAAGAATACAATGGCACTACCCAATGTGAGAACTACTGCAGTCTTACCTCATGGGCTGATATGTCCGCCTCCAGCAGCTGGTGCTTTTTCAGCAAGTTGTTGACAGAAGCCAGGTCTTTGCCATAATCTTCAGATGCCAGAAGCGCCTCCACCTGGCATTGGAGATGCCAAAGGAAAAGGCCATTGTGTGGGGCATATGCAGTGTTGTGGGAAAGCCCAAGTGTGCTAGGTCAGTCTGCCGGGCGTGACTCTCCTCATGTGTGAGGTCAGTGCAACTCTAGAGCTTACTAATGGAAAAGGCAGGGTAGAGGCCCAGGCCTCAGGTTTTTCTGGTGCTGTAAGGGCAGACAGAAGAGCCAGGCCACTGTGCTGCAGCCAAAGCCAAGGACCAGAACTGTGAGCCACAATGGCATACAACAATGCTCACTGCTATACCTTTTACCCCCAAAACAAGGCTGGGGCTATGCAAATATCCACAGGGTGGGAATACTCAAAGATGGCAGATCTCTGAGGGACTTACCGGGCTCTCAAATGTCTGAGAAGTTTTAGTGACCTGGGATAACATCCCTTACATACTAATGAAACAATACTGCAAATTCAGCTATATAAATTATATCCTACAAGCATCCACCAAAGTATACCCTGAATCTGAGATGTGAATAGTGGTGGTATCTAAGCATGTCTTTGTTTATATTCTCTCTACTGTCTCAATTTCCTGCGTGGAGAGTTCCACATTATCTGGCTCTGACTCCTTGCTCCTTCAGTTCTGTCTTGGCACAGGTTTGTCAGAGCTGCCTGTCGGCCAAACCCCACCTCTCTTCCCTGCAAGAGGAGGGGGCTGAGGTCTGGTCCCACTCTAAACCAGCTTTCTTCTCTAAATATACATTCCTTCAGCCCTTACGTGCCTTCCAGCAAACCAGAGAGCTCCCGCTGAGCATCTGTGTCCAAAGGCACCTGCTGAGCTGGGTCTGCCCCAGGGCCCCCATTACCTCGGAGAGCCAGAAGTCAAAGTCCTTGATGCCAGTGTTGAAGTTCTGCTGCTTGTTGGCTTCTTTCAGCTTCTGGCTCTTCTCAGCTGACTTCTGTACCAGGAACTGCCACTGGTCAGCCAGGGCAGCCAGGCGGGCCTGCAGAAGCAAGGGGAGCCATGCAGGATGGAAAGGTTACAAAGAGGAAACAAAACTGGTCACAGGAGCCCTTGGCCCTGCATTCCCCATCTATAACAGCCTGGTGCCATTTATGTCCTCAAGCCTGTTCTGGAGGCCTCATCCAGTGGATGCTGCTGCTCCTCTTGGGGCCAGCAGGAGTCCCTGGGCTCAACGTACCTTGACAGCGTCCTCGCTGCCGGCGCAGGCGCCTCGCTCGATGAGGGAGTTGCCCATGTCGATGACGCCGCGGATGCGGTCGGCATTGGCATGGAGCTCTGCCTCGAAGGCCTGGTGCTTCTGGTGCTTGCTCTGAAAATACCAAACCACCTTTCAGAGCTAACTCTTGGAGGGCATGGCTTTAATGCAGGATAGAGGGTGTGGTGGGAAACTTGAAAAGAACTGAGTAAGAGTTGTTGCTTACAGGTGGTAACCATGGGAGTGTGAGGCAGTAGGGCTGGGCCTGTGGGAGCTTAGTGGAGGGTGTGGGCAGAGGACAAGGGGTGTCCACCAACTTGGGAGCGGGACAGGGAGTGGTTTTGAAAGCAGCTGCAGCAGCTGGCTGGGGCAAAGACCTATAATTATACACTTTAACATTATGCAGCAGATGTCAATGCCAATTTTGGTTTTGGAGCTACTTGTTGCCAACTTCCACCCATGCTATGTTATTCCTTAATGGCTAGAGGCTTGGACAGATACCAGCATGGGGACAGCTCATCACCCAGGGCAATCATCTTTATCCAGCTATGCACACTGGATGGCCAGTCATGTTCCCCTGATGAAAGGAATAGTCTACAGCTGCTGCAGACCCGGGCTTTACTGGCTGTTGATGCAGTGGCTGTCATTAGTCAAGGCTGCTATCAAAACGCAGCCTGATGGGAGGCTGGGATTTATTTTTGCCAGGAAAAGAGCGGGCCAGGGGCTGTAAGCATTCATTAAGGAGTACATCGTGCTATAATACTATGAGACAATTGCAAGGACACAGAGGCTGTAGCACAATTCTGGGGAAACACTGGGCAGGTGAGAGGTACAGGGTCTCAGGAGCGTTACTGGGAGAAGTAAAACTAGGAGATAAAAAGTAGTAAAGCTGAGGAGGAATTCTGCATCAAATGTTTCATTTCAGAGGCAGCAACTGTTACGAGGTGGAGGGGCAGCAGTTTCTGTATCATGTCCTCTAAGCTCCCATCCAAACCTCAAGGCCGAGAAAGGGTCTCCTCAGCCACAGTCCTAGAGAAAGATCCAGTCTCCCTCTGGCCACAGGATTCAAACCCTATATATTCACTAGAGAGCTTCGTTTTGTTTCCACTCATGGAATACAAATTTGAGCTAGGTGTTGCTGGAGACATCTTTCACTGCCTGTTGGGCAATATCCACTGTCATCCCAATCTCTAGCTCCTGACTCTCTCAGGCTGGGAAGCAGACCTTGCCTCTGCAGTTCCCAGGGCCAGCATCTCTGGGCACCTGCCTGGCTGTGCAGTGGATTCTCTTGCCAGGCTAGACTGACCCTGCCTATGACACCATGAGCCATAGCCAAGACCGAGCCAAAGCTTGTATAACATAGCTGATTATTCCATCTTCAAAAGAAGCATCCTTTGAAGGAAAGCTGTCAACTACTGCCCCTCAAATCAAACACTGTACAGAATTTGTCTACATGATGAACTAGGGCAGGGAGGAGGCGTGCAGGCTGATTACAACAGAGAAAGCCACACCCCACAGGGACACTTGGATGGCGGGTGATGAAGTATTAGAAATGAAAAGGATGGATGAAGAGACATCAGTGGACCATGTGTGACCACAGTAACAGTGCTCTACAGAGAAGAACACAAATACTGGAGGCTCATGTATCTATAACTCTTAAAAGCATTAAAAAAAACTTACCAACAGCTTGGAAAGCTACAAAAACAGATTAAAAGACAAGAGTTCAGTACACAGATGTGAACATGTGTCAACTATTAAACAGACATTCTTCCCCTGGGAAGCTCAGCACCTGGAACGGTTTGGGGTAGAGGTGGGGATTCCATAGACTTGCTAGAAGCTATGGCAGCTCTCAAATGGCTCTGAACATTTACTGGGACTTTCCCAATAGCTTGGTTTACTGAAATACTTTCCATTGGCTTCACCGTGAATTCAAGGAGACTGTTTATAGGTATGTTCCCTTTAAAGATGTCTTAACAGAATCTGTTCCCAATTTGGGGCTACTTCAGGATGAACACTCACTCAGGTCTGCTCACCTGGATGTTTGTAGGATCCTTATAGGACTCATCGCTGGCTGTCTGCAACTTTTCACTGATCCAAGCCTCGATCTCATCCACATCTCGGCTGAATTGCTGCAGGGTCTGAGACTCTCCAAGCTTTGACCTTTTTTCAATCATCTGGGCTTTCAAACGGCGCCATCTGAGAGAGGGAAGCCAGGAGGCCAGCTGTGAGCATCCCCTACCATGGAGGAGGGCACACAGTCTCTCTGTTGGAACTGGAGTGCACAGGACACCCACCTGTCCAAGACTTCATTGCGACGACTCGCAATGTCTCCCTTGGCATAGTGACCAGCAGCAACGAGCTGGTCAGCAAAGGCCTGCAAGGCTGCAATCTTCTCCTCCTATGGATAGACAGACACAGTTTAGACGGGGTGCAGCCGGGTCCTCCTAGACTGCTGGTCTTCAGAAGACACCGGTTATTTTGGGTGACTGGGAACAAACTGGTGGCAGGATCATAATACACCGATACTTTAGAAGCAGGAGTGAGCTTGATTTTCATCATTACGAGAGTACAGTTTAACTCAAGACTTGAGGTCACCCTAAGGTGGACAGGTGCTGGACACTAGCAAATGTCACAACAAATTAGGCTTCATAACAAGAAAAGATTCAATCAGATTCAACAAAGCAGTTGAGAAATTATAGTTTGTTCGCTATGTTCATACATTCCCTTACTGATCCATAAATTTTCCTTTAAAATAATTTGTCTTCTGCCATTACTGCTTTTTAATACATCTACCCACCTACCTATTATTTACTTTTTTTTTTTCCTGCTGGTCCTGGGGCTTGAACTAAGGGCCTGGGTGCTATAAGATTAGTAGTGCTTAGCCAGGCTCCGGTGGCTCACACCTGAATCCTAGTTACTCAGGAGGATTAGATCTGAGGATCACGGTTCAAAGCCAGCCCGAGCAAGAAAGTCCATGAGACTCTTATCTCCAATAAACCGCTTGAAAACTGGAAATGGCACTGTGGCTCAAATGGTAGAGCACTTGCCTTGAGCTGAAAAGCTGAGGGACAGCTCTCAGACCCAGAGTTCAAGCCCCACGACCGACCAAAAAAAAAAAAGATTAGTAGTACTCTACCATTTGAGCCACAGTTCTAATTCTGGCCTGTTGGTGGTTACTGGTAATAGCAGTTACATAGACATTCCTACACAGGCTGGCTTTGCACCATGATCCTCAGATCTCAGCCTTCTGAGTAGCTAGGATTATAAGCACGAGACACTGGGGTCTTGCTTATCTATTTACTTTTTTTGTTTTTTGTTTTGGTCGGTCATGGGGCCTGAACACTGGGCCTGGGTGCTGTCCCTCAGTTCTTCAGCTCAAGGCTAGTGCTCTACCACTTGAGCCAGAGCACCACTTCTGGCCTTTTCTGCTTATATGGTGTTGAGGAATCGAACCCAGGGGCTCATCCATGCAAGGCAAGCTCTCTACCACTGAGCCACATTCCCAACCCTATTTACATTTTTTTTGTTGTCAGTTGTGAGGCTTGAATTCAGGGCCTGGGTGCTATCCCTGAGCCTCTCTGTGCTCAAGACTAGTACTCTATCCCCTTGAGCCACTTCCGGCCTTTTCTGTTTATGTGGTACTGAGGAATTGAACCCAGGACTTCATACATACTAGGCAAGCTATTTTACCACTAAGCCACATTCCTAGCCCTCTGTTTACTTTTTTTTTTTTGTTGTTGGTTGTGGGGGCTGAACTCTGGGCTTGGGTGCTGTCCCTCAGCTCTTCAGCTCAAGGCTAGTGACCTACCACTTGAGTCACAGAGACACTTCTGGCTTTTTTCTGCTTATGTGGTGCCACGGAATCCAACCCAGGGCCTCCTGCATGTGAGGCAAGCACTCAACCACTGAGCCAACTTCCTAGCCTCCCTGTTTACTTTTGATTGATGAATGGATTGCTGTGGTGAAGGCCAAATGCTCCATTAGTGAACTACACCCCTACCCAACCCAACCTTAAAATAATTGCACATGTACTTTTCCTGATGACAGAAGTATTGCATGCAGACATACAGTGACTATACTGCCTTTTTTTTTTTGTCGATTGTTGGGCCTGAACTCTGGGCCTGGGCACTATCCCTCAGCTCTTCAGCTCAAGACTAGTGCTTTACCACTTGAGCCACAGCGCCACTTCCAGCTTTTTCTGCTTATGTGGTGCTGAGGAATCAAACCCAGGGCCTCATGTATGCGAGGCAAGCACTTCACCACTGAGCCACCTTCCCAGCCCTACACTGCTTATTTTTGTAATCAATATTTAGTTGTTACTTCTTTTTGGTGTTGCTGGGGCCAGAACCCAGGCAAGCGCTCCACCACTGAGCTACACTTTGAGCACACATGAAGTATTTTACTTTAAGGAAACTGGCAATGCTATCTAGCTAACACATCATAATTATTTATTCTAATCATTAAGAAAACCAAGGAGAATTAGGAAAGAAATAAAAAAGATGTCAATTAGGAAACATCCAAACTAAGTTTACAAGGAACAGGGTCTTACCTGGACATTGATAGCTTTGTCAAAGTCCTCGTGTTTTTTAATTAGGGCCTCCACACTGTCCAGTGAGTCTCCTTTGTCTTCAGTGTTAAGGAAAGCCTCGCGGGCAGCCATCCAGTTCTCGGCTTGCTCACAATCCCGATGAAACAGCTGAAAGAACAGACTAGAAGGTGAGAAGCCCAAGCCATTGGCAAAGAAAATACTGATTGGGGCTCAAAGCACACGTACCTGCAATTCAAGGCACTGGTCCAGCATCATCCTGCGCTGCACCCAGGCCTTTTCCAGGTCTGTCCGTTCCTGGTCAAGAATGTCAAGTTTCTCCTTGATCTCTGGGCTGGCATAGTGCCCATGAGCCAGCAGCTGCTGCCCAAACTGCTCAAATGCCTGGAAAGTGCCAGCTCTGGCATCAATTTCTGTCCGATGTTCCTGCCAAGAGGAGGGAAGGGATTAGATAACTGGCAGGAGATGCCCATGTTAGTGTCAACCACTGGCTTACAACAAAGGGTAGGGGTGAGGCCACTCAACAAGCAGGTCTACCCACCTGGTGTCGCTCCAGCAAAGCTTCAGCTCCAGTGACATCTTTTGCTAGCTCATCCGAGGACACCAACCCCCGTATTCCATTGATCCAAGACATGAGATCCCTGGAAACCAGATCAGCAGAGGACCAGCTATTATATGTTACCTGGCAAGCAGGCTTTCTGCCTAGGAAAATAGACTCAGGGCCACCTTTGCTGCAGGAAGCAATTCCAGTTTTCTGGTGGTTAATTAGAGATAAGAATGTTGGGAGGCTGGGAAGGTGACTCAGTGGTAGAATGCTTGCCTTGTATGCATGAGGCCCTGGGTT